ACTATTTAAAATATTTAAATTCGACTATTCGAGAACACTTTAATTTTTTTAAAACAGATACGTCTACAAAAACCGTTGACGTTCTCTTAAAATGACATTATATCAAGTTAAACTTCAAAATTAACAATTACTACCTGATAACAATTACTTAATAATGTAAAACCAAAAAGCCCCAAACTTTCTGTATGATTATTTTTAATTTTTACATATGTTATGTTCTTTAAAATCAAAGAAGCGATTGCCATACATTACTAACATGCATGAGCAATACATTTATTTTTATTAGATTATATTAAAAAAGCCTCTTTTATTTTGCTTTTAGAGGTTATCGCTTTTTTCATTATAATTTTGGCGTTATTAATAGCTATTTATGTAACTAGTACCTAAAATGATGTTTTTTAGGACGAATCATTACTGTTTGCGGACGAGGCGTTAGCCGAGTCCGAAATAGTAGATGAGTCCTAAAAAACATAATTTAGGTACGTGTTACATACACTATTTTTTGTCATACGCTTTTTACAGTTTTTTAGAACGCATATTTGCAAATTTTCCATATTTGAAATTATAATGTTTGAAAAAGTTGGCTTATAAATTCATATCTTAGTAACGAGTTTGTTTATTTCATCGCATTTTGACATGTCATTCGAAATTTGTCACAAAATCACACAAATTCATCAACAATTTTAAAATGTTCCAAAATCCCGAACATATTGCTAATAAGGCCAAAGAAATCGTGTTGGATTTACTTCCTGTGAAGTCTCGTGCCATTTACCAGAAAGAATATGATGTTTTTAATGAATGGAAAGACAAAAATGGCGTATTCGTTGTAAATGAAGATGTATTGCTAAATTATTTCCACGAAAAAGTAAGTACCTAGGTACCTATTTAAAAAGAGGCTTTAAATTAAAATATTCTTAAATTACAGTCACAAACATTCAAACCATCGTCAATTTGGTCGAAATATTCCATGCTGAGAGCAGTGTTAAGTGTTAAAGAAGATATTTATATTGACAAATTTCCAAAACTTATTGCTTTTTGAAGAGGAATTCGGTTGGTTACGAGCCTAAAAGTCTAAGGTTTTGTCCATAAAAAGAGATCGGTGATTTTTTGGCCACGGCTAGTGATGAAACTTATTTACTTACTAAGGTAAGTTTGCGATAATGATTTTTAAAATATATAGATGGTTTCTTATTCCATTGTATTTGATTTTAGGTAGCTCTTGTCATTGGCCTTTGTGGAGCATGTAGAAGAGAAGAATTGTACTCTCTACGAGTGCAAGACATCATAGAAAAAGACAACAGCTGCCTTTTAGTTACCCTTGCGGATACAAAAACTAATATCAAAAGAGTGTTTCCGGTGGTGAACGAAGGGAACGTTGTCAATCCAGTTGAGTTGTATAGAAAATATGCTTGTCTTAGGCCAAAAAATGTACCACATGATTATGTCTTCATCTCTTATCGTAAAGGAAAATGCACCGTGCAACGAGTCGGCATTCATTCATTTGGGAAGATGCCATCGATTGTAGCAGCATTTTTAAAGTTGTCGAACCCAAACGAATATACAGGTCATTGTTTCCGACGTAGTTCTGCTACTCTTGCTGCAGATGCAGATGTGGATTTTACATCGCTGAAACGCCTAGGAGGTTGGAGGTAAAAATTTTAATATTTTCCGATCTTGTTCTAAACAACAATAATTATTTAGGTCGTCCACAGTGGCCGAAGGTTACATAGAAGAATCTATTGAGAAAAAGAAGAAAGTTTGCAAACTGCTAATGGGGGAAAAGAAAATCGCGACCACTTCCACGGATGTATTACCAAGTACATCATCGTTCGCATTTACTCCACCTCATCAGAAAGTAAATTTACCTGCCAATGGAGGAGTCGTTTCGATTGCAGATGCAAGTTTTCAAAATGCACAAAATTGTTCATTTCATTTTTATTTTTCCAAATAACTTAGCTTTTGATATTGTTAGTATTTAATAATTTAAAAATCAAATACAATGGAATAAGAAACCATCTATATATTTTAAAAATCATTATCGCAAACTTACCTTAGTAAGTAAATAAGTTTCATCACTAGCCGTGGCCAAAAAATCACCGATCTCTTTTATGGACAAAACCTTAGACTTTTTAGGCTCGTAACCAACCGAATTCCTCTTCAAAAAAGCAATAAGTTTTGGAAATTTGTCAATATAATATCTTCTTTAACACTTAACACTGCTCTCAGCATGGAATATTTCGACCAAATTGACGATGGTTTGAATGTTTGTGACTGTAATTTAAGAATATTTTAATTTAAAAGCCTCTTTTAAATAGGTACCTAGGTACTTACTTTAAACAAATAACTTAGCTTTTGATATTGTTAGTATTTAATAATTTAATTATAAATATATGTATAATTTTATGTGATTTTGTGACAAATTTCGAATGACAAAATAAAACAACCAAATAACGAATTTAGACATTTTAGTCCATAAAGGTTGCCATGACGACCTTTACGGCCTAGGCCGAAAAAGAAACATTTTACGGACTGAAATGAGTCCGTAAAATAGCTGTTTTTGGGAGCGTATGACAAAAAATTTATTATGTACCCTGTGTCCCATGAATGCTGACAAATCTTACATTTGTGAAAATCTCCCTTTCTTAACTCTACAGGAGGCGCGTGTAATTATTTGCCAACAAAGGGCGCGTCGGTCTGAGAGTCCGATTTTAACGTACTGTAAAATTAACACCTTACTTTATGTCCTTACTTTAATGAAAACAATATAAAGAAATACATTATTATTTATTAAAAACATTAGGCTAGACGTGACAAAGACATAAAGTTGGACTAAATATTGAAACAAAAGTAAAATAATATGTCGTCGGTGCAATGCCACACCCACGAATGTGCAAAATGAGCGTTAAAAGATATTCAGCTTTTAAACTTTCAATGGGTTACTAAAAATCAGGATTTAATGCGATATTTTTTTGTACTTCTATTAACAGATGTTAGAAATATATTTTAGAAATATCATCAGGGATTTACGAAAATATCAATCAATTTTCGAAAAAAGTTACATTCGTGATTGTGGCATTGTATTTTTTTAAATAAAATGCATATACGTGAAATTGTATCAACTTTTATTATGGTAAAAGTGGAACAAAAAGAACTTTCTAATATTGAAAACTATAAAAATAATAATATAATAAAACACTTAAATCATATTTTAGAATAATTTAGTTTTCATCTGAATCTTCACTTTCATTTGGCTCCGGCAAATTGTCTCTAATATTTTTATCGGTATTTATAGAATTATAAAAGTTATGATACTTGGCAACTGCTTATCATAAGCTTTCGTCAGATCAACGTTTTTGGGTCTTCCACGACTTCTCACGTTTTTTACTTGTTGAAATTCTTCTCCAATTTTTTTTTATAGGACATTGTTACCACGGCATCAGTTTTAATGTATCGTAACCAGCAAACTTGTTGCCAGGGAATTTGGTTCAATTTATAGTTTTGTGTTCCAAAGGACTTGAAATCAAAGATGTCATCAAACATTATAGATCTGACTTCAAAAGGACGTGGGTGTGTTCGAGCACCTCTTATTATTTGAGCCCAACCTTCGGGTGAATAAACAGGAACATACTTTGATTTCTGTTCGATTTTCGAGTGGAGTGAATCACACTCCATCTCGGTATGTCCTGATTCAAAAAACTTGTGATCAATAATTTTTAAATTATTGTGATCCGTAAGAAGTTTCAAGCACATAGCAGCAAAATGTGAATTTTTTTGTTGTCCGCCACACCCGTCCGACATCATTCGAACCTCAGTGATGTTGGCTTGATTGATAATGTAGTTGTAAATACACGAAGATATCTCGTTTGGCCCCCTTTTTCCTTGGGTTTCATCCCAAAGGTAGCAGATTCCATCCTGATTCCCTAAGTTGTCGATAGTCAGATTATAAATAGCCAATTTTCGTAGGTAAAATATTTGTCCTGTTGGACCCTTTGGAGTCGTAAGCACTCCTTCGAGGTCAAAGTTAAATGCTAGTACCTCTGAATTATTTTTTGCTATTTCTTTGTCTTCATTTCGGGATTCGCGAGCTAATTGTTTCCTTAGCATGTGTTCGTGATGAGCCTGTTCATGTGTTTTTTTTCTCCTCTGTCATATTCGTATATTTTAAGCACTTTTTACATTGGTCCTTTTTGGGTTTATGGAACCCCAAGTTATAACTTCTAAACACTCCTCGAAAGAAACTGGATGGACGTTTAATTCTGTGCACTTTGATTTATCCAACTTGTGCATAATAGAGACATTTAGTGAAGAATCCAAGTACCTTTTGGTACTAGAGGCCCTACAATAATGCGACTCCACGGCCGGAAATGAAAGAATATGCTCCCGAATCAGCAGTTCATCATCATCTTTCAATTTGTTGTGTGGGACGTGTTTTCCACGTTTTTCCTTTTCAACTATGCCACTTGAAGAAAGCTTTTCTACAGCTCCGCGCATTAATGCATCTGTTACATTGAGTGTAGCCATAAAAAAGGCCCGGCATACTTGTCTTTTTTCCCTGTCGATGGTAAACGAGTACCTCATGGTGAACGTTCTTCTTGAATTTTCAATGTTTCTAGTCACTCTCTTTTTCTTTTCTTTATCAATATGACTATTTAAATAAATACGCTGATCATCTACCGAAATTAGTTGACGGAATTCATTGTAAATTTTGCGTCGGTTTTCCGCGTTGACAAAAGTGTCACATTTGTGGTTTCTTTTACCAAAACACGGAGATGATAACATGAGACGTGCTGGTCTCTCTTTATTTCTAGAGCAAACATAGGACTCTCCTTTTAATCTGTTTTGTTTTCTTATGTTTTTCTTCCAAGCGTTTATGTTTTTCTTTTTCCTCTTAGGGCCTTCACCTTAAAAGAAAGAAAAATAGCTTTTGAATAATTGTATGTTTGTGTTATAGAGTCCAGCCAACCTAGAAAGGGTACATCGGGTCGCAAAACAATGCCCGAAAATTGGCCCGTAATTGTGGATTGTCTATTAATTTTTAAAAAAATATCTTTGTGTATTGTAACTACACAAAAAATTTGCCAGTGCAAATTTTAACCGGCCACCATTTAATGTCCCCTTTTTAGGTTGGCTGGACTCCAACTCCAAACCAAACCTTTATAAATAACTTACTTAATTTATTTTCTTCATTTCATTTTGATCCTCTGACTCTGATGTATCGCTAGAGCTCGAACAAGTAGAGCTGGAAAAACTGCTAGAAGTTGAGTCCTCTTCAGGATTATAGTTATCTGATGAAGAGTTACTCTTGTTTGAATCTAGTTCGCTATGGAACGTCAGTCCCCTACTGGAGTTGCCGGAAATCTCTACTAGAGGTTGTGCTAAAACAAATTCTTTGGTGTATTTATCAGTATTGTAAAATTTTATGATAAAAAAGCAGTACTTTCTAGTTGGTTCTCTAAAACCGTTGGACACAGTATTTCTTCATTATTTGGTATAGAAGCAAAAACGTTTGATGTTCCGGGTTCATTTTTTTGTTGGGTGTCGTATTCGTCATTCGTTTTCTTTGAGATCTAATAGAAAAAAAACTACATTAGTGAAACCTGGAAAAACTTTGCAGAAAATGCAAAAACTACTTTTTTTCACGCATTACATTTCCTTTGCAGGACTATTGTTTATGCGACTGTTCTCGAAAAATTGTAGTTTTTACGTTATCTGCCAAAAATTTTGACAAAATGATACGGGGTACTGCACTCAAGCCGTCGAAATGCTTACCTATCACTCTATCAGCCAATTACTAAAAGGTTATGTCTATAATGGTATATGATTATCAACCTACCTGCTGTTCATGCTGTTTTGGTGAATCCAGACGTGACTCACTTAAGTTTTTAAATATTTTAGCTGTGCGGGCGTTCATTTTTACACATAAAACTGAGAAATGTTTAGTAAAAACAAAACAACGAATGTAAAAGAAATGCAAAATCTACACCGCCACAAACACGATAGTGTCACTTTCGCGATATGCACTTCGCCGGTTAACTAAATTACTACACTGCCACAAACACGAATGTGGTACATTCGCGAAGCACGCATTACAAGTGAACAAAGCAGACTGACTTCCGTGAAAGTGCACATGTCCACCCCACCATCTCTTAGCCTCCTATCACATTCGTGGTTGTGGCAGAGTAAAGTAATGACTGGGATATATTAAGTGGTGTACTTAGGTGAAAAACGAAAATTTTGCACATTCGTGTGTGTGGCATTGCACCGACGCACGGTGGCGCGAGGGATAGGGACTTGCGGCCAAAAAGCGGAAAACTGTATTTAATTAATTCTATTGGTTAAAATTAAAATATTTATTGGTATAATAAATGAAAAATAGAAATTTTTAAACAATTTTGAATTTTTATGGATAACATGAACTGATATTGCATATTATATTTGAAAGTCAGAACTGTGAATTTTGCAATATCGAACATGTGAATACATGTCTAACATGTGAATACAAGACATATATGGAGAATTAATTATTGCAAATTAGGGCTTTTGTTTTTGTTTGGTTTTGTTGATGGCTTCTGTCAAAGGTCACATTGATTTAAAGCGATTTCTACTTCACTGCGTAATCTAAAAATTGAAAAAACAAAATTATTTTTAAAACCCTAAAAAGTTAAACTGATTTTTGACATTATTGTTCCAAATTATGTAATAATTTCTTCATTGCCCGTACTCTGTGATTTATGTAGGTTATTTTTATTTTTATATACCTAGTGTGTTAAAATTATTAGCAATATAAAATTAGCAGTTTGCAAAAATTCAGATATATCATAATTATTTGCTAGGGGATTTTTAAAAGCGCATAAAATGTTTTTTTTATCAATAATTAAAACCGAAAGGCAACAATGCAAAAAAAATTAAAAATATATAGGGCTTACAATACTCTACAGGATTCCTATAAAATCAAAAGTTCTTTGGCTTCTTGGTCCAACTCCATATGTTTACTTTGTTTAAATTTGTGACGTAAAGTTGCCAAATACGGATCAGACGAAATAAGAAGAGAGTGCAGAACATCTTCATTCGTTGCAGTTCTTGAGCATTTCCTACTACTGTCCTTTCGAAATATCTTGAAGTATTTATTTTTTGCTTCCGCGGCTTCTTCACTAAGCTGGCCGATTGGTAAAGTCGCTGATTGAATTATGGCAGCACCATGAATCAAAACTTTGTGTAAAGATGAAGGCATATAATACCAACTGTATTGATAAACATAAAGTTCAGCAGTTTCGTAGCAAAATTTTTTAAATTTCTCTTCGTCAATAGGATGTTCGCTCACCAAAACTTGCAAAATAACAGACATTTTTTGAATAAGGTCCTTACTAACTCCAGTTATGTCCGAAACAACGTCAATATCTCGAAAAAATCTTCTAGCAGTATTGCCATCGTTTGAACTGCCTACTCCTTGCCGCGGTACATCAACTATAATACCAAGCTTTTCTTTTAGTTCATTTTGGATTCTCTTTTTGGTATTTTTCAGAAGATCCTTCTCTTCTTTGGTACGAGCACTCCATCTTCTAAATGGTAATCTATAGGCAATGTGTAAAATACACTCCATAAAGCGAATTTGAGCGTGCAAATTGGATAGGCCATATTGGTAAGCACTTTCGTCCACTGCTCTTTTCATAACTTTACTAAGGTTGTTCATATCCGACGGTTTAACTTTACAAATTGTACAACATGCTGCAGAAGATGTTTCTGTAAGGACCTGGGCGACTTTACCGTCTATCATAGTGAAAGACAAATTATGACAAATATGAAGCTCTTTATCAGTACATAAAATTACGGTATTATTTAAATTTTCAATTTCATTTTTGTACTTCCGGGTAATTAGTTTAGTATTTTCTGGTGATTCTTTTAAAAATTCAAAGAAAATAGGCCTGCAATAATTTGGAGAGGAAGGATGGGGATTTTTCCATACAACAACGTTATTTTCTGTGGATACTATTTGAAGAGGAACTAAAGATACAACAAAGACACTATCGTCGGAAATTGTTAAATCAGTAAAATTTTGTCTGTAGTTGCTATTTCCTGAAGAGCCATCACATCCCCATTTGGAAAATAACGTAAAACTTCTCGAATAACTTTCCATTGCACACTTTTTAACTTCCTCTATCATAAAAATTCTTTCTGTGGTGTGATTTAAAAGATCTTGTAAAGCTAATGAAGCCCCCCTTTCGGTAATAACCATATTTAATGGATAACAATCCGCTTTAGCATTAGAAATCTGATAGTAGCTTGGAAAATTTGGAGCATTTTTTTCTTTGCACTTCGTTCTTAGACAATTATATTGATATCTTGACAGTTTTAAATCTACCATTAACGCTAAAGCTTCCTGTTTAGAAAACACATCACACAAATTTTGTTTTTATAACTATTAATTCCTTTGGATAAAATTTCTTTAATGGCCTCCGCTTCATCCTTTTGCCCGCTGCAGCCAATTTTTTTAAGAAAATACATTCAATTTCTTTAAGACTCATATCAGTGTTTTGTTTAATGTTGGCCAATTTTCTTCGTTTGCTTCTGTCCGAGCTGTTTTCGAAACTTTTAGATGGTCTTCCTTGTTTAGGAATATCAGAGAGGTACTTGCTGTCAATAACAATATCTTTATCAAGCCAAGATACATTTTTTTTTAAAAACACTGCTTTGACTCTGCATGCTGTTTTCCATTTTTGTCGAAGTTGAGGTAGAAAGCCTTTTTGCAAGTTTCTTTTTATTGCTTTAAATCCATCATTGGTAAAATTATGTTTTGCTTTTAAACGTGAAAAAAAAAGTTCTTCGTTTCCACACACCCAAGTAACTGACGGTAAGACACCTTCTACTAACACGAACCATGTTTTAAAATAAAGTAGTCAAAATTTTAACGAATGATAGAAACGCTTAACACTCAAACTCAAAACAACGCCAAAACTTAATAATCAAAATACTGGTTAACACTATAACTCAAAACAACGCCAAAATTCACAAAGCAAAATACCGATGTAAAATTTTCAAGTTATTGCAAACGAGATAAATAATAACTAGTACCTAAATAGGCTATGCAATATTATCGAAGACGGTGCGCGGCCACGTAATGTCTCAAATATTAAAACAATTGAATAAGCAGATGACAGCAGCCAACTTTGTTTTTGCGGAAAACTGCATATATGAAGGAAGTTAATTTGCAATACGACAAAACGTAGCACCATTTAGATCCTTTTTTTTTCTGCTTTTGATTTAATTATAAATATGCATAAAATATAGGCTTAATCGATTTGAAAAAAAAAAACATTTTAAAGAGTTTCTAAAAATGTTTAGATATAAATTATTAACAGCGAAGAGAACACTTTTTGAAAGTAGTATAACAAATTATTTTTTTGTGATTAGGTAAACCTTCAAAATTATATAACTTTTTAAAATTATTTTACCAACATAAATGATAAGCTAACACGTATTGTGGTTAGGGGTCATATTAGCAACTTCGTAATTATTTTTTTGTGAAAGTATTAGTAACTTTTCATTAGCCGATGACTCTACTTTTGAAAAATATAAAGTAAATAAAAAATGCCGTAACTTTTTAAAAATCACTTCTGACCGAAATATAGCATTGGACGCTCCACTGTGCGACGGTGCGGATTAATTAAGTAAATAACAAAAACCGAAACCATATGTACCTAATTTGCCACACGATAACAATCTTCGCACATTACCAATATGTGCTCTAGGCACAGAAATTTTGAACATACGTGGCAGTAATAGCGAGTCTTTCTATTTACTTTGAGGTGCGTATTACACATCTTCCAGTTTCTCCGGCCCTGAATTTAATTGCAAAGGTACTATTGATGTCGTTAATATAGTTGAATCATCTCTCTCAAATTTCTGCTTATAACTATTGTGACTACCACTTCCGTCAGAGCCCCACTTGGTGATTAACTTTAGGGGTGTTTCAGGTACTTCAACGTTGGTAAAATACGATGCAATAACTTCTTTTTGTACTTGGACTACTCGAGATGTCGTGTGATCTAATAATGATTGCAACAGAACTTCAACAGATGTGTTCGTTACCAGAATATTTTTAGGATAACACGGCTTTTTAGGGTTCCGTACCCAAAGAGTAAAAACGGGAACCCTATTACTAAGACTTCGCTGTCCGTCCGTCCGTCTGTCACAAAGGTCTATCTTATGAACCGTTATAGCTAGACAGTTTAAATTTTTACAGATAATGTATCTATGTTGCCGCTATAAGAACAAATACTAAAAACAGAATTAAATATATGTTTATAAATAAAAAAGTACTTTCACTAAATATTATCTTTTAAGTAAGAATGATACATAGAATCTCGGTGGCCGCGTGGTTAAAGCGTTAGAACTTTACGCTGCTATGACGTTGGAGTCGTAGTAAGGCAGGTTGTTTTTCTTTAGCATTTATCCACTTACACATAAACATAACTTACAATTTTTCAAAAAAATGAAGTTACCTCCTTCATTCACAACGACATCATTAAAAAAAATACATTTTTGAATCGATGAAGGTAACAAAAGGCAAAAAATATATCTTTTTGGATACATTATAAGTAACTCTATTTAAAGCTATTTTACAAAAACTTTACAAAAACTGACAACTAATTTTGTTTTCTTGCTCCGGGATTATAACCTGATAATACCAACGGTAAGATTCCTTTACAAACGGTAGATGAGTTTTTAAATTATCTATTTTTAGTGGAGCCAGTTTTCCATATTTTCTGCCGATCCTTTCAATCTCAACATTGTTAGGAGGCATCAAACAGGCATTCTTTATGATGTTTACCTTTTTAAAAGGAGTGTTGGGATTATAACCCACTTTACACCCATATGAACCATATTCATCTACCCTAATCCATTTGATTCCGTCTCTAAATAGGACTGTCTCATTCAGTAAATTCTTTTTTCTATTTATGAGATTAAGATCTTGAGCAAAATTTTCAAAGTCTCGAAAGTGAATGGACATGTCTGTGACATGATTAATTTTGCTTGATTTTGTAATGATAGTACGATACTCGTCAGGTAATATAATATCTTGTCTTCTTAGATTCTTCTCAATTCTTCCAAAATCGCGATCGGAATCAAAGAAAGTATGTCCAACCTCGGGAAATTTGTGGTCTGTTTTACCAATTCTTTCAAAATCAAATATTGGTAAAGAAAAATAATTAATTAAAAAATTCTTATTCTGACCCGCACAATAATCTGACCATA